TCATCAAACAGTGATTTGATGATTTAATTTCAATTTGATGATTGAAAACAAATTCAAATAAATTCTTAAGTGAAGAGAATTTCAAAAAGGTCTGTAAATTCAAACCTATGAAAATATCCATCAAAATTAAGCCAGGACATCAATCTAGACTGAAGAAAAAATATAAGAGAACAATTCGAACTCAAATGAGAATTAACTCATAAATTTAAACAAATTAAGGAATAAGTTTTTGAGAATAAACAAATTAAGGAATATGCATATAATAAAAGAAGCACATGCATATTGGTTTTATCAACTTAAAATGAAACATTGGTTTATAGTGTTAAACTTACAGTTGAAACATTAGGTCACCCCTAACTTGGTTGCACGTGCAAAATTACTGGTCATACTTTCAAAACCAACTGGATGATCACTTTGTTTCAAGCTCGAATATTGGTTGCCACCATCGATACTCTCTTCGAATGAAGTGAAGTCCAGTTTTTTCTTCTCAACAGATTTTAATCTAGCACTTCGTTTGGATTGATAAGCTGGAGAACTATTGCTGTTAATTCCATTGCATAAGCTTGAAGTTGAAGCACCACACATATTTTCACTACTGGAGGTATTTACAGCAATTATCTTTGCCTTATTTGTCTTATCAGTTCTATCAGGAGCCACAGGTGAATCTGTTTTCCTCTTTCTGCTTAGTATGGAGGGAGTGTTTGTGTAACTCCTGGCAGCAGTTCTTATAATGGATTCAAAATTTTGCTCATCTGAACTCTTTCCATTTGAAAACAGTGGAGTTAGATAGCTATTGGGTGATGAAAATGTGCTGAAGGTGTATCCTTTTTCCATAAACTGATATGTGGTTGGTAAAGGAGATGCCACAGAAACATCGATATCTTCAAGTCGAGGTGGCACATAATAAAGAGGTTCATAATAAAGAGAAGAGATTTCAGGCTGCGACAAAGTTTGCGCTTTCTTGCTCTCCTGATCAATTTCACATGAATTTCTGAAATCAGCCAGTTGTGGCTCCAAATCTGAAGCATTCCCAGAGATAGGATCAATTTCAACAGCATCAGAATGATCACGTACTGTGACTGGTGCACCTGTTAGAGCTTCGGTGAGGGATAATTTAAAGGGCAAGGGCTCCAAACAATCCTCTCTCTCTTCCAATTTACAAGATTCAGTAGGCAGACTGGAACCTAAGCAAGCAGCAATTTCTGCTAAATTTTTATTTCTTGCATCTGGCTCACTAGTATCCGATGTTTTATTCGAACAAGAAAATAATCGTCCATTAGCTAGGTGCGTTGTGTCTTTGGAACCATAATGCATGGCAGGCTTTGGAGTTGCTGGAAGTTGACCGGTTGCTAAATAGAAATCTAACTTTTTCTTCAAGGAACTGTTCCAGTGGTTTTTTATTGAGTTGTCCGTCCTGCATATGAAAACATAGGTTAAGCAGAAAATACAAAGATGACCAAACAGAACAGTGACTTCAAACTAAAAGCTCAAAATCACCAAACAAACTATGAAAATAGTGCCAGTTTTATGTAGCCTAAAAAATGAACCTGAGATTACCACATAAAAGTTGGCGAACAATTAAAAAAAACAATGATTATCACAATGCAATGATAGAGCAGATAACAGAAGATTTTGCACAAGGGTAATGTTACACACGATACATCAGAAAGGAAGAAACTGCACACAGTATAAAAAATAAACAGTTATTATCAGAAAATAGTCATGGCAGGAGTTTCAAAAAACCACAATCTTCACCATGAGAATCTTCATACACATCACTTAAGCAAGAGTAACTTTATGTCATAATAATGGACTAAGCATGGTAGATTTTTGTAAGCATAGAACTGTCTCATTATTGTGCATAATGCACATTGTC